AGGCTAGATAGTAACAACGTACATTGTAATGTATATGAATTTGTTAAACATAGATGTGTAATTTTTGCTACCAATAGTATCAGAAGTTGTATTCCTTTTACTTTTAAGTCACAATGATATTTGGGGTTCATCGCGTCCCTTTCCAGGTGTACCTTTCAAATACCTCAAAATACGATACCCTGCTTCTAAATGTTCTTCACAAGGAGAATGCATAAACTGACTCATCACACTCACAGCGAAAGCAATATCAGGGCGAGTATGAAATAAGTAAATTAATTTCCCAACCAGCCTTTGGTATCTCCCTTTATTCACAGGAACACCTTCTCTAATATCCCCGAGCTTGTTACTCGCTTCTAATGGTATTTGTGCCGATTTGCATCCTCTCATTCCAGTCTTCTTTAGAAAGTCCAGAATATATTTTCGTTGTGACACCATTATTCCTCTCTTCGATCGAGCTACCTCCATTTCAAAAAAATATTCAAGTTGGCCCAAATCTTTAATTTCAAATTCTTTGGATAGGTTCCTCTTAAGTCTCATAATCTCGTTCAAGTCATTCCCAGTTAAAATTAAGTTATCCACATAAACTATTAAGATAGCAACTTTGCCTTTTATGGATTTTTGTGTGAAGAGGGTGTGATCTAATTGTTCTTGTGTGTAACCTTAACCTTTAATAAACCTTGTAAACATCTCAAACCAAGTTCTAAGTGATTGTTTGAGGCCACAAAGAGCCTTTTTCAGTTTACATACCTAGTTCCAAAGCTCTCTATGAACCCAGGTGGAGGTTCCATGTAAACTTTATCCTCCAAGTCTCCAGTTAGGAATGCATTTTTTACATCAAGTTGACTCAAACGCCAGTCAAGATTTGCAGCCATAGATAAAAGTACTCTCACCGTGTTTAACTTTACCACTAGAGAGAAAGTCTCCAAATAGTCTACTCCAAATGTTTGGGCAAAACCTTTTGCCACGAGACGAGCTTTGTACCTCTCCAAAGATCCATCCCATTTATGGCCAACAACTTTCTTTTTGTTTTTGGGAGATCTACCTTATTCCAAGTAGTATTCTTCTTAAGTTCATCTCCTCAAATATTGTTGCCTTCCATTCAGGAACATGTAGAGCATCCTGGACACGGTTAGAAATGACTACATTGGATATTTGTGAGATAAAGCCAAAATAAAAAAGAGAAACGTTTTTACAAGATACAAAGTTTGATAAAGGATATTTTGTGCAAGTCTTATTATCTTTCCTAAGAGCAATACGGATATCAAGTTGACTAGGAGAATAGGATTCTGGATTACCTTAAGAATTACTATGAGGGCCAGCTGAGTTATCATGAATTTTATGATCTAATCCCAGGTTAGAAGGTTGCCAGTGCTGAAAAATTGTGTCTCTTTTCATCTCGGATTGATGTTTCATTGAGTAGGCAAAACCTTTAAATGTTTTTGCATTTATCT